ACTGATAATCCTCGTCGAGGTTTTCAGACAGACTCGTCTCTCCAGTAATGTGAGCCTCTTGAAACAGCATTAGGCCTTTCTTTTTAGGTCTATCCAAATGCAGCACCTGCACCTCACAACTACGGGAAGATTTTGTTACCAGCGTCCTGCCTCCTTTGCCTGACAGGCTTTACTGTGATTGCTTTCATTCAACCCGGCTTTCTTCTATTTGTAGGTCGCATCTTTGCGAAGAGAGAATCTGGGTCCAAACTCATCTTCTACGACATTATGGCTGAGGGCAAGAAACTGCAAGTGATGGCCACAGTAAACCACTATGGCGATGAAAAGGATTTCTTCGAAATCAATGAGATCCTTCACCGTGGTGACATCGTTGGCTGCGTGGGAAACCCGGGCAAGTCCAAGCTCGGTGAACTGAGCATCCTGCCAAAGCGGTTAGTCCTCTTGTCGCCGTGCCTTCATCAGATGCCCCATCTGCACTTTGGTCTGAAGGACAAGGAGACACGCTTCCGACAGCGCTACCTCGACCTTATGATGAATGATGATGTCCGGCTGCGTTTTATCATGCGCGCCCGGGTGCTGGACTATGTTCGACGCTTCTTAGACTCACTCGGCTTCTTGGAGGTAATGTTTTGCCTTTCACTTCGGCCCTATAGGCAATTTCGTTCTGCTGCGCTGCAGTATTTCTGCAAACTTATTTAAAGTGGCTGGTCTTGACTTTTGGACGTACTGCTTGTCTCAGGAGACCTCAAAATTAGGCATAAGACCTCGCGTTGTTTGTCCTTTAAAAAGTCTTAGAACCGGATAGTCAAATTGAATGCCTTATTGTTGAAACCTTGTTGTCCTAAATGGCATTCGAACCCTGGATTTCGAGGACACGGTTTTAGTATAGCCAGTACTCACTAACCACTTGAGCTACGCCGAACGACCGATGGCCCCGGATATTTTTTACTTTTGGGCTAAATTATCCAACCAGACTACTGGAGTTTATGGAATCCACTAATTCGGACTATGCAAGCAGTTCCTCTGAAACCAAATTGTGAAAACCCTGTTAATTAAGCCAGTCTGCTGGACTGTCGATTAAATGCCTAAGAAATTATGCTCGGGCAGTCAGCTGACTGTATCTGAATTTGTGGATTCTATATGTTGCAGGTGTTTAGGCGGTTAACTTGGCTCAGATGTGAAAAACTCCAAGTTTTTGGCCGTGGCCTCGTAGCTCAGGTTGTTAGAACATTGGGCGTACTCAATACGTGCACTTTTTAGTGAGTTCTAACCACACTGAGGCCGCCAGGCATTCAGTCGAGTTGTTCAAATCTACCGAACTGCATTATTGAATAACAGCCATGTCACATCAGCTTTCCGGTGCCCAGTGGGCTAAAAGTTTAGTAAGCTAATCCCCTTCATTTCGAGCCTGCCATTCTTTCGTGATTTAACTAGAGGAATTATACATCTGACAAATTGTGATGGTACTCCGGAAGGAGAGTACTTTTTAACCAATGTTCTGCCTAATCCTTCCCGAATGTGATTTTCTTTATACATGTAAAAACTAATTTTACAGTGTGTGTTTCTCTTATGACAGCTTATCGAGGTAGATGCGAGCTGGCTTGCACAACTTTTTAAAATCTGCTTGTGTGCACTAAGAGTTACTAGCAATTGAACGTATAAAGTCTGATAATCGCGTGGTTTTTGTCATATCGGCTCTAATTCGATTGTCGATTTATTGACGTTTTCTCGCATCTGCTCGAGTCACCATAAACATGCCAACAATTTACGAACGTTTTAAACAGAACTTCCGCCAGAGAATGCTGTTCTGAGCGTTTTGTGAAGAGTAAGCGGATTGAACTAGGTCGCATGTGCTAATTCGCATCGGAACGAGGTTAACCGGTCTATCAGAATTGCTGGCCGGAATAGGGGTGATTCAGTTCTGTCTTCGAGCTCCGGGTTTTCTCATCCCCAGTTGTGGTATGAGGGACTGATGATAGAAAATAAACCGGGCATGACCGTCCTCGTCATTGTCGGCCCCCTCGCAACGATGGACTGTCCTTTCTACGTGGCGATATTAGACCTCGCACTGGAGTGTAATAGCCCGAAAAGTGTAGGAAATACAGGTGGATTGCGCCTTCAAATTAATCTTTTCTAGCCTTGAAACGATAACGACGACGAACCCCCTTGAACTGGACTCCATTAGTTTCTCTGGGCAATAGACTACAGACTCTTGAGGGCGGGATTCTTTTTCCACCAGAACATTGGCACGAAATCATAGACAGTGAAGTATGGGGCCTTGATAAATGCTAGTTTCGTACGTAAGTTTGAGAAAAGCAACTGGAAAGCTAAATGCTCAGACGACCTTAAGTCTAGAACTGTTAGTGGGGCGATACCCAATCGGCTGCAGCTGGCAGTGAAGGATTAAACAGGTAACATTTGCCAGCCACGTGTTTGTTTTTAGTTACCCACGCCTAGCTGACTAATGCGCTTTGTTCCGTGTCTTACCGGCGCCAATAGCCCCGGCTGGCATACCTTGAAAGGTAAATAAACAGAAGTGGGTGGTGTCTCCGTCCTAAATGAACATCGCATGTAGGGCCTTGGATAGTTGCCAATAGGATTAATTGTACAGTGACCCAAACATGAAGGAAAAGCTTCAGGTCAAAGGATTGCTGAGTCACTTACTATG